AAACGATTCCCTTTTTTCAACGGTGGTTTTAGTTCTCAGGTGAAAAGATAAAAACGAGACCGTAACTTAATGTGTTTTGGTTTTAACTTTAAGTGGAAACGAAAAAAATAAAAGCACCCAAGTCATTTAGGTCATTAAGTCAACACAGACGTGGATGGATAACTGCAACCAATAAAAGGCAACGGTAAGATGGTCTAGTTATTCGAACAGGACCGGGATGGGTTCCGGATCAACCGTGTCTAGGATTTGACCCGCCGGGCCTGTTCAGAATTAAAAAATTATGGATAAGATGAACATTATTTTTTAAAGTAAAAATTTAAATAAAAAAAAATGTGGTCCTTTTTCTCTTCTCCCATTTTCATACTTCCCCTTATATATTCACCGCTTCTTTTTCCCAACCCATTTTTCACTCACTCTCTGTCTCTGCTTCTCTTCTCTAATTATCTTCATGTTCTTGACGGATGAAAAAAATCGTTCAATTGAAATAGTCGAAGAAAAAATTACAGCTGAATTAAAGAGATGAGCTGCAACGGGTGCCGTGTTCTCCGCAAGGGCTGCAGCGAGACCTGTATTCTCAGGCCATGTCTGCAGTGGATCGAGAGCACCCAGGCCCAAGGCCACGCCACCGTCTTCGTCGCCAAGTTCTTCGGCCGCGCCGGCCTCATGTCCTTCATCTCCGCCGTGCCGGAAAACCAACGGCCCGGTAATTACCGCTGTAGCTATTATTTAATTTAATTTAAATCCCTTCGATTATTATTTATTTAACCCAGTCATACGAAAAGCGTGAACTGACACAAACCCCGCGCGTGCGCGCACTCGCCCTCAGCTCTCTTCCAATCGCTGCTGTTCGAGGCCGCCGGGAGAACCGTGAACCCCGTGAGCGGCGCCGTGGGGCTCCTCTGGGCCGGAAACTGGCGCATCTGCCAAGCGGCGGTGGAGACCGTCCTCCGGGGCGGCAAGCTGAGGCCGATCCCGGATCTGGTCGGCGGCCCGTCGCCGGAAATGGACGACGCCTCCGACTGCACCGGGGCTTTCCGGCCTCGAGATTCTGCCTTGCCGCGCCATAAGCGACGCCGGGAAGCTGACCAGCCGGCCGGCGGTACCTATCTAGATCTCAGTCTGACACCTGGATTTACAAGGAAGAAGAACAGGGGCACTGTTTCGGACTATGCAGGGCAGCTCGGGAGCCCCTCGATGAATTCCGAGGAGTCTCTAACGACGACGTGCGGTGATCTGCCAGCTGGGGAGATAAGGCTGTTGAACCTGTTTGGTTGAATTTATTTATGGTCTCGGGCTTGAATGAGAGTTTTCAGCTATTTATTTTGCTTCACTTTTTCTTCTTTTTTTCTTTTTTTTTTAACGATTTAAAGTCCGGCGAGGTTATTTTGTCAATCACTGGCAACAAGATCCTCCTCTATTCTTCTTTTTTCATTATTGCGTGTAGAAAGAAAGTGGACTGGAGGGGGAAATGAAAGTTTTGCTNAAAAAAAAAAAATTGTGGACAAAAATAAAAAGCATGTATTTTTATAATACTTTTTTTAATTAATTTTTTTTAAAAAACGTATTATGGTAATACGTTTTAAAATTATATTTTTAAAATATTTTTTTAAATAATTAAAAAACGTATTTCAATAATATATTTTATAAAAAAAATTAATAAATAAAACGTATTTTGATAATATATTTAATAAATAATTAAGAAAGTTTAATAAATAATTAAAAAATAAAACGTATTATCATGATACGTTTTATAAATAATTATTTATAAAACGTATTTTGATAATACATCTTATATTTTAAAATTAATAAAAAAAATTAATATGTAGTATGTATTTTGTGTTTTGGGCTCGTTTGAATTCGGAATTGAGTTCCGTTTTCTCCTATACGTAGCTAACGAATCCCTCTATTCAATGATACTTGCATAACCAAATTATTCTTGAAATCATATTCTCCCAAAGCTCTTGACCGATACATTAAACGTGTTTCGCGCGACTTTTCTTCTTGGGCCCGTTCGGGCTTGTCAAGCTCGAAATTGATTTCTGCTTCTTCCTATATGTCGTCAAGGAACCATTCTACACAACCATGATTGCCTGGTCTATTTTCGGGCTAAATCTATTTTTCACGGGCTAAATAATTAACAAGTCACCAATTATATAAATAGATGGTCCATAGAGGATTTGTTAATAGGTGATTTGTTAATTATTTAGCCCCGTGAGGAATATATTTAACCCAAAAATTGACTGGGCAATCATGGTTGTATAGGCGGGTTCGTTGGCGACATATAGAAAGAAACGGAACTCAACTACGAGCTTGGACGAGTCCGAACGGGCCCAAAAAACTAAGTCGCACAAAATACATTTAATGTGTAAGTCAAGAGCTTTGAGAGAATATGATTTCAAGAATAATTTGGTCATGTATGAATCATTGAATAGAGGGGTTCGTTAGCTACGTATAGGAAAAACAGAACTCAACTCCGAGCTTAGACGAGTCCGAACGGGCGTTGTTGTCGTTTGCGGTCACGACGTCTTCTACCTCCACCAATGTTGGCAGCGGGTTGATGCCTCGCTCTGTGTGACTGTGTATTCAGAGATGGGGCGTAGTCCTCCTCGGATAGAACTTGACTAAACGACGCCCCTTGTGTGACCTCCTGGCCTCCAATAGTCAGAGAACTATAGGTACTCTCCCGGATGAGTGCACAGAAGATCAACATATTTAGATGTATAGGGGGTGGATCTTCTGTTGGAACATACGTGAAGTCCACTTGTCTGATAAGGTTCTCCGTCAGTTTGGGTGTCAACAGTCCATCCCCCAAAATCCGATGATTAGTGGTGAGCAAGAATGAGAGACACACCACGGAGGTCGTGGAATGACTGGGAGAGCATTTGGTGATCGGGCCGCCTTTCATTCACAGCTTACCAAGAGCTGAGTCGATGAAAGAGAACAAAATGTCCTCCAAGATGCCCTTATGGATCACTTTCTACAGGCTGAGTAGGGCTTACATTGATTAGTTTTACACTAGGACTGTAAGACTTATCAGTGACCCTACCAAGTACACGGTGGTCCAACAGGACGGCGACTATCAGACATTTTCCGAGCGGGAAAAGTGCGATGTAAGTGTTCATAATTTGTGGTTTTTATTATTTTTTTTTTCTTTTTTGGTGTTTCATACTAATTACTTTGAATTTTATTTTCAGACTTAAGCCCTGAAGGGGGTTTATAACTCGTTAGCGAATATTCAAGACATATTTCCTACACTCCCTCCATGGGCGCAGGCCGCATTCCAACAGCCCTACAACATTGTCTATAGTTATCTTACCAACAGTCCTACAACATTGCCTATAGTTCTCTGACTGTTGGTGGCCAAGAGGTCACACAAGGGCCGTCGTTCAGTCATGTTCTATCCGAGGAGGACTACGTCCCATCCCAGAGTACACAATCACACAGGGCGAGGCATCAACTGCCAACATTAGTGGAGATAGAAGACGCCGTGACCGCAAACTACAACAATGCCCGTTCGAACTCGTCTAAGCTCGAAATTGAGTTCCGTTTCTTCCTATATGTCGCAACGAACCCGTCTACACAACCATGATTGCCCGGTCAATTTTCGGGTTAAATCTATTCCTCACAAGGCTATATAATTAACAAATTACCTATTAACAAATCCTCTGTGTACCATCTATTTATATAATGAGTGATTTGTTAATTATTTAGCCCATGAGGAATAGATTGAACCCGAAAATTGCCTATAGTTTTCTGACTGTTGGAGGCCAAGAGGTCACACTAGGAGCGTTTTTCAGTCATGTTCTATCCGAGGAGGACTACGTCTCATCCAAGAAAACACAGTCACAGAGGGCGAGACATCAACCCCCTGCCAACATTAGTGGAGGTAGAAGACGTCGTGACCACGAACGACAACAATGCCCGTTCGAAAATGAGTTCTGTTTTTTTCTATACGTAGCTAACGAACCTCTCTATTCAATGATGCAGGCATGACCAAATTATTCCTGAAATCATATTCTCCCAAAGCTTTTGACCTACACATTAAACGTGTTTCGCGCGACTTTGCTTTTTGGGCCCGTTCGGACTCGTCCAAGCTCGAAATTGATTTTCGCTTCTTCATATATGTCGCCAACGAACCCATCTACACAACCATGACTGCCCGGTCAATTTTTGGGTTAAATCTATTCCTCACGGGGCTAAATAATCAGCAAATCACCTATTAACAAATCCTCCGTGGACCATCTATTTATATAATGGGTGATTTGATAATTATTTATCCCGTGACGAATAGATTTAGCCCGGGGCAATCATGATTGTGTAGATGGGTTCGTTGGCGACATATAGGAAGAAGCGGTAATGAATTTCGAGCTTGGACGAGTCTGAACGGGCCCAAAAAGCAAAGTCGCGCGAAACACGTTTGATGTATCGGTCAAGAGCTTTGGGAGAATATGATTTCAAGAATAATTTGGCCATGCAAGCATCATTGGATAGAGGGGTTTGTTAGCTACGTATAGGAAAAAACGGAACTCAATTCCGAGTTCAAACGAGCCCAAACGAGCCCAAAATACAAAACACATACTATATATTAATTTTTTTATTCATTAATTTTTAAATATCAAACGTATTATCAAAATACGTTTTATAAAACGTATTTTGATAATACGTTTTATAAATAATTAAGAAATACGTTTTTTTAGTTTTTAATTATTTGTCTAGTTCTTAATTATTTGTAAAACGTATAATCAAAATACGTTTTATTTATTAATTTTTTTTAGAACGTATTATGTGAATACGTTTTACACTAAAACGTATTGTCGGAATACGTTTTACACTATAAAACGTATTTTAAAAATATATTTTTTAAATAAAAACGTATTCTCAAAATACGTGGTTTTTAATTTTTATCTACATGTTTTTAAATTTTTTGGTTTTTGTCCACTTAATTTTTTATTTTTAAATAAATTAATAAATCAATCTGGTTTTTTAAACAATTTAAAAAATAAAAAAATTAAGTGACCAAAATAAAAAGAAAAAAAAATGTGTGGACCAAAATCAAAAGCACGTATTTTGATAATACGTTTTTATTTAAACTACGTATTTTAAAAATACGTTTTAAAGTTAATTAAATTAATTATGTTATGAACTTAATTTAATAATAAATAAAACGTATTTTTAAAATACGTTTTAAATAATTTTATTTGTAAAACGTATTTTTAAATACGTTTAAAATAATTTTATTTGTAAAACGTATTTTTAAAATACGTTTTAGATAATTTTATTTATAAACCATATTTTAAAACGTATTTTATAAATACATTTTTATAATATATTTATTAAAAAAAATATTTTTTTTAAAAAAACATATTTTTAAACTCATAAAACAGTAAAACGTATTGTGCAAATACGTTTTTAACCCTAAACTTTAAACCCTAAATCCTAAATCCAAAAATGTATAAACGAAATACGTTTTTTTCATTAATTATTTGTAAAACGTATAACTAAAATACGTTTTATTCACTAAATATTCGTAAAACGTATAACCAAAATACGTTTTAATAAGTAAATATTTGTAAAACGTATAAACAAAATACGTTTTATTCATTTATTTATTTTTTTAAAAACAAGTTTTTTCAATTGTTTATCCCAAAAAAAACATATTTTAAATATTCAAAACAAACAAATAAACCAAAAAGTGTGAATCATACAAGAACTACAAAATTAGGATATAAAACATATTCTATGAATATGTCTTACATGACAGTATGTTCAATTAAAACTAAGATTAAATTTAATCATACAATTACAACTAATGTATATATATATATATACTATATATTATATATTTCATACTACATACTACATATTACATATTGCATATTACATATTACATATTATAAAGTATATGTATATATTATATAGTTCATACTACATACTACATATTATAAAGTATATGTATATACTATATACTATATACTATATACTTCGTACTACATACTACATATTATAATGTATATGTATATACTATATACTTCATACTATACTATATACTATATAAAGTATAAATTACATATTATATAATAGATACTACATACTACAATACAAAATACTACATACTACAAATTATAAAGTATAAATTACATATTATATATACTACAAATTAAAATACTATATACTACATACTACAAACTAAATACTTGATACTGCATACTACAAACTATATACTTGATACTACATACTACAAAGTATATACTATATAGTTTATATTATACATTATATACTATATACTATACTAGATATTACATACTACACATATACTTCAAATTGTTCGACATGTTTGTGTTTGTAGTTTTTAACTTTTATTTTTATTTTAATGTCATACAAGTTATTTTATTTAATATATAATATATAGTCATATTTATATATATTAAAATATATATGTATACACTATATCTACAAGACGTTCCTATAGTAGCAAATATTCAAATATCTATCCAACACAATGGAAGCCAATTCGAGAGAGGCTTCTGAGTAGCCCTGCATGAAAATGAGCTGTTTGGTAGCGAAACTTTGAAATGCCATAACTTTGCGTAGAAATATCCGTTTTGGACGCATAATATATGAATTTGGGGTAGCTCGACGAGATCTATAAGCCCAAGGCCCTCAAATGCACACCATTCCTCCCCCACAACCTCAAAAATACTTCCCTTGATCTGCCCAAAAACAGCTAGCCGCAGAAGTCCCAACAGCAACAAGCAACAACAACAACCCATCATTCCAAAAGAGTCAGAAATTCCCTGCAGCAAGTGCACCACCCTACTTCCCTGTCAGGCACTGTATCCCACACAGCAGAGTTGCCCCACTTGTGAATGTTCGAAGCATGGTTCCTGTTTTCTCGGCCCCACCGCCAGCGATGAGGCCCCCAGCCATTGGAATTTCGCCACCTGTCTCCATTAGACAGGTTGTCCCTGTATATGCTGCTCCAGTTTGCAAGGAGCTACCCATGGTGCGGCCGGTTGTTAAAGCGAACGATCAGCAGGTATCAAGGTTGTTGACAGCTAAGATGGAGGAGCTTCCATTTGCTGGAGCTGCCCCAGGTACACCCATTTTCCAAGCTTCTGTTGTTTTGGTCGAATCATAGAAAATTGTCGATACTCCGTTTTGGTCGAGGGATTTTGGTGGAGTGAGTTGAAATATTTATACAATTGCAGGGGACATGGTTTGCTAGAGAAATCGGATCAATTGATTTCAAACCCCTCCATTCACTGCAGATTTTTCACACTGGATTGCGTAACTGTTGACAGAGTGACTAAAACTTCATGGATTTCAAATACTCTCTGTTCAAACGAATATTTGAGGCATAATTAGAAGAAATCTGATTATTTTTCAAAATTACAAACACACCCCAATAGTGGATGTTTGCATGTTTGATAAGTTTCACCTAGTGAAGGGATCATTTATATAGCAAGTACAAACCTTGATGGGGTTTTTCGCTACTTCAATATATGATTGGATCACTTCTAGTGAAGGATATTCTTACGGAGCTCCTCTAGTTTTAAGTTATTGCAAATTTCTGCAGTGCCGATTTCTGAAGTTCCAGCACGTCAAGTCGGGCTACCTTCATCTCAAGTTTCCACTGTTCAAATCAAGCGAGTTGCTAAGTTTAGTGGCCCACCAGGCAGCCCGAGAGCAGCCAGCGACAAGACTAGGATTGCAGTGCATGACAAGCTGCAAGAGTATAAGGAGATTGAAGATTTGAAAAATCTCAAGATATGAAAGGGGGTCTTTGGATTGCATGAAATTACAGTTATTATTCTGTTAATCAAATTATGTTCCTTGTAGTGGAGATTTACATGTCTTTGAAAAGTTGTAACAGTTTCTGTGCAGTTCTGTCCATCCATCAGTTTCTTTTGCCTTTGAACGACGTAAAGAAACTGAGCTGCTCAAAACTCATTGCAGAGTATATACACATATCAGTATGAATTGGCATCATGTTTACCTTTCCAGATTTTGACTATCGGATTGCTGATGTGGTCATTATGTATTTACACTTTTTGTTTGCTTCGAGATGTTTTTCTGTAGAGGCAGCTGCATTTTTATTCCTCATGTGAAAGCAATGTCGTGATTCTTGGAAAGTATAGTTTGTGCAAATACTATGCAGCACTGTTGATTGAGTTGTTAAATATATTATAAGCACAACCCATAAACGAAAGGTCCATCTAGAGATATTAAACGGGCTAGCCCTAGCAGTTTCGGGCTAGTTCTAGCGGGCTTCGGGTTAAACGGTCCGGGCCTAAAAGGTTCGGATTTAAACGGGCTACCAAAAAAAGGACCTAATCCTAACCCTAGCGGGCTTCGGGCTAAACGGGCTATGCGGGCTATGACTATAATAATAATAATAATAATAATAATAATAATAATAATAATAATAATATATAAAAAAAAAAAAAAAAAACAGAGTAAAAAATAGAAAAAAAAATAACAACAGCTAGTTAAAAATTATTTTCAACGGCTATTTAGTATTTACCGTCTATCACTATGTTTCATGTATTTCTTATTAGTCGTTCTGTTCGGCTTAAATATTTTAGTATGAAGTACAATAACAATATTGTTAATAATTATATTTCAAAATCATAATAATCCATTACAACTCATACTTACATGTGAAGTGTAATATCAAAATTGTAATATACAAGGAACTTAAGAGCATATTACTTACTTAATGCAAACATTTACACCGCCCAACCCTAGTTAAACAGGCCAGCCCTAGCGGGTTCCGGACTAGCCCTAGCGGGCTTCGGGCTAAACGGTCCGGGCCTAAAAAGCCCTGATTTAAATGGGCTACTAATAAAAGAATCTAACCCTCTTTTTTTCTGGACTAAACGGGCCGGCCCGTCGGGTCAAGGACCATTTAACATCTCTAGGTCCATCCTAAATATGGCCATCTCCATCAAAGATTACCATCATTCGTTCAAAATTCTAACTCTTAAGTGCATGCTTTGTTATGATTTTTTTCAATAAATATGTAATCACTATTAGCTAATCACTTTTTTTAACTCAAAATAGAATTCAAATATAAGAATTTATTAAAATTAATAGTGAAACTAATTTATTAGTGCTAAACATTTCAAAAATATACATATATAATTGTAAGCTATTATATAATTTTTTTTTTCGTCCATTTTTTTGTTATTTTTAGTATGTTTGAATATCATTTTATTTATATTTACATCTCTAAGTTTGTAATTAGTTGCACTCTTAAATTAATATAGTTGCACTCTTTGTTAATTTGGTAAGTAATATTATATTTTTTATGTAACCATTACAATATTTTAGCTATTCTTTTTTCTTCTGGTTGTACATTTATTTAACATTTGAATTTGAAGTTACTCTTTGACCATATTAATTTGTACGATAAATTGATATTTAAGGCAATTATTAGAAGTAAAGTAATATACAAATTTCAAATTTTCCCTAGGAAATAAATTTATAAAAACAGAGCATAACCATATTAATTATTTTGTCTTTTTATTTGTAGAGACTTCATTATTAATTCATATATATACAAACATAAATAATCCTACCTATCTTTTTTTCCAGCAATTTTAATTAGGGCTAGTATTTTTTGGCCGAAAACCGAAAACTGAACCGAACCGAACTGAAAACAAACCGAACCGAACCGACTCATGTGTAACGGTAACCGATAATCGGTTACCAATATGTTATAGGTTCGGTATCGGTTTCGAGCCCATTAGGGTTCGGTTTTTACCGAACTGAACCGATAAGAATATAAAAAAAAAACTAAAATACTTGACAGATTTAGGCTTTTAAATAGGTATGTATATTAGTTAAATATAATAATAAGTATATGTTTAAATTGAATTGGTCTTAAATCTTAATGGCATGATTGGTATGAAGGATTGATATGGGAATGGAATGATAATTCCCTTCCTCATTCTTATTCCCATGATTGATATATTTTTTGGGAAGGAATGACCATTCCAATGGGAATGGCAAAACTCATCTCCATGATATTAGTCATTCCATAGTAAATGAAAGGTTTTCTCATTCCCATGTGTGTAGGAATCAATTTTTCAAAAAATAAAATTAACAAATAATAATAAAAAATACAATATAAATCATGATTAAGATATATTAAATAAAATTATTTTTTAAGAAAAATCAAATAAAAAAATTAAGAACTTACTTTTATTTATTTTTTAATTAAATATATTAAATACTTAAATAAAAATAAAACTAAAAAAACATTTATATATAATTTAAAAAAATATTAATTTACTTTTATATATTATTAAAAATATATTAATTTTTATATACTAAAAATATATTATTTTTAATATATTAAAAATATATTACTTTTAAAAATATATTATTAAAAATATATTATTGAAAAAGATATTAAAAATATATATTATTAAAAATATATTTTTTTAAAAAATAAAATTCAAATAAAAAATTGAAAACTTACTTTTATTTACTGTTTAATTAAAAAATAAAATAGATATTATTAAAAATATATTATTTTTTATATATTAAAAATATATTACGTTTAAGAATATATTATTTTTTATATATAATTTAAAAATATATTATTTTATTTTTATATATTATTTTTATATATTAAAAAATATATTATTCTATTTTTATATATTATTAAAAATATATTATTAAAAAAAGTTTATTCTATTTTTATATATTATTAAAAAAGCATTTATAATTTATTAAAAGTATATTATATTTTTAAAAAAACTTTTATTTATTATTATAATAAAAAATAATAATGTCATTCCATTACAGCCCTATTCATTCTGATACCAAACGCATCAATGACAAAACATGTTTCATTCAATTCCCATAAATAGTTTAGGTCATTAGGATTTAGGGGCCTTTTTCTTTCTGCTTTCACTAGCACTACGGCCCGTCATCTTCATAATTTAGGGCTGGGAGTTCAATTGAGAAATTCAGAAAGTTCTGTTTGGTTTTTTGCTTGCCTCGACCCGTCGATCGTTCACCTCACCTTCACTTCAGGCCTCCTTCTTCAATTTAGAATTCAGATCGCCTCCTTCACCATTCACCTCACCTTCGTCGACAGCCGTGCCCGAAGGTAAGGTAATTGGTTTTTCTATTTTGTGTTGTGAGTTTCATACTTTCATTAGCACTTTGCAGATGAGTTTTATCATTCTGTTCCATGCATAAGCTTACATGGTCCTCTTTTTCCACTACAAGTCTATGATAGATTTCGAACTGGCATTAGTTTGGGAAGGGTTGTAATTTACTTCACAGAATTGAGCTCAACTTTGGTGCTGCTGCTGCACTTTATAGGATTTTTTCAGTTTTTTCGGTTTTTATCGAAACCGAACGGTTTTATCGAATTTTTAATTGTTGTAACGTACATAAAAGTTTATACATCAGTCTATTAATTGGGATGCAATGGTTCTTTACTTTTCCTGCATATTTGTGCCAAAAAAAAAATA